GTGCTGATCTTTCCATCGTTCTCTTCCACGCACAATAAAACTTCCAAGTCGGTATCATTTCTTGCATCTTCTCTTTGTTCCTGCCTTGCTTCACATCTGCATTTATTTATTAGGGTACCTTTGGTCTCAAATCTCTGGATATTCCTTGCGATTGTAGATTTTCCAGGTATCGGTCTACAGAGGGTACAGAGCAGCAAACATATCCGACACCTTTTGATAACTATTTCCTTGATAATACCATTTAATCATCAATACTTTTTCTTGGGTAGTGTAATTCATGGCTAATATTTTTGATGTAGGTATGAGTTTTTAATAATAATAATAAAGCACTAAATAGATAAATTTCTGAAATGACAACTTCATTTGAGAGTTATCTTTTATTTTGAATGGTGCTCATAAGTAAATATAGGAGGAATATACATAAAGGAGAAATATTTAAAAAGAAATCGGCGATAACTCGTAAACGGGCTAATCAAAAATATCTAAAGTTATTCTTTTGAATGTGGGTTTTAGTGCTCTTCAATAAACCTAAATAGAATTATTCTCTAAAATAATTAGGGAAGTCAATAATTGACCCCATTAAAATTTACATGGGATTTCCTATGTCCCGCTCGACGATGCAACACCCGGTATGTAAGATAACATACTAGTATTATAGACAAAGCCATAGATAACTATTCGTACTTTTATGCTTAGTCGTAATAATGACTTTTTTATATTGTCAATAACTTCGCAAAAACATTATATTGAAATGATGTAAAGTGATGTCTAGATGATTCGAGAAAATGTTTTATGTAATTTTTTTTAAAACATCAGCAAATGCAGTTATCAGTATACCGCAACCGCAAACAGTTCAATGTGAATAGAAAATAGCTGACGCATTTAAAAAAGAACGTTTTCTATCCACTTTTATAATTTAAAAGTACAATAGGACTGAATAGGTGATTCAAATCCGACATTTCTAAGCTTTTCAAATCCTTATCTTCAGGATTTCGCCAGCACAAGTCATTGCAAATAAGCTCTCTGAAGAGTACATAACCAATAAAAGATTCGTCATAGGAGAAAAATAGGATTTAGTGAAAAAATTTAATGGTATTTAGTTTGAAAAACAAAAGGCTTATTAAAAATTATGTTTGATTGTTCTATTGTTTGCCAAAATAAAGGCGGTTTTTAACAATTATTATTCCATTTTAATACCATTTTTATTTATAAAAAACTTATTACTATATTTGATAAAATATCCTGTTAAAAAATTATATTTATATAAAAATATAGAAATTTATAAAGTAGTAAATAAAATTAACTGTGAAAAAAAAATTAAAGCAAACTCATGCTCAATATTAATGCAAAAACTTCTTTTCTAGAAAATGTTAGGCAAGTCATCATGAATATCCCAATAAACATTATTTCTATTTTATCATAGTGGTGATTTTATCAGGATGTTAGTTTTATGAATATCTAAATAATATGAAACAGAGAGATTTGGCGCACTTATCTTATAGTATAAATTATCACAGTTTTATATGAAATTATATATAATAATATATAAATTCGGGTCAGAACGTCTTACGACGTTGTCCGATGCCTAACTTCCACCCTGTGCGATTTTCCCATTGATCTTCGGTCAGATTTTTCTCGCTCATCGACCTTCTTATTCCTTCCATCCATGTTTTCTTGGGACGTCCTCTCTTTCGTTTACAAGGTGGAATCCAATGAATGACTTGTTTTGGAATTCTTTCATTGTGCATTCTCTGAACGTGGCCGTACCATATTAATTGTTTTTGTTCTATATCATTTACTATTGTTCCCTCTGTTCCCATCTGTTGTCTAATGTCTTCATTTCTGATCTTATCCCTCCGTGAAATTTCATTGCTCTTCTAATCGCGTCCATTTCTGTTGTCTCTAATTTCCTTTTATTCCTTTCAGTGAGTCGCCATGTTTCACATCCATAGAGTAATATGCTTTTAACTAGTGTCTCGTATATATTATATTTCCTGTTTTTTGTAATTTCAGTGCTCCATAGAATGCCATTTATGCATCTGATAACTCTTGTATTACTCTGTTGTTTATTCCTCTATCGTCCGTTCCATCTCCTGTAAATATCGATCCCAGGTACCTGGAATCTTCTTCTGTATTAGCTCCAATTGGAAGGTATTTTGTTTTTTCTGTATTTACTGTGAGACCCCATTTAGCATATTCTTCAATTATTTTCCGCACCATATATTCCATGTCATCTTTGTCGTTTGCCATTATGGCCTGGTCGTCTGCAAATTGCAAGGTGTATAGGCATATGTCATTTAGTTCTACACCCATTCCGTTACATTTTCTTTTCCATAGATGTAAGGCCTTGGCAATGTAAATTTTAAATAGTGTTGGGGATATACAGCAACCCTGTCGGAGCCCTTTATTGATAGAAATTTCCTCTGAGAGACCGTTGGCCGTTTTTATTTGTGATTTTCCTCCATGGTAAAGATTTTGTACAGCTTTTATCAGAGCTGCGTTAATTCTTGATTCGTGCAAAACTTCCCATTATATGAAATTATTCCGCCATTAAAAAGTGGAATAATTTCATATAAAACTTTACACAGTGACAGAATGAATGTCATGAAAATTCAGTAGCAGGTACGTGTGTTTTTCAAAAGTGGCTTACCCCAATAACTTTTTTTATTCTTATTCTTTCAAATAAAACAACGAAAGTTGGTATATGGTAAATCAGGATGATTGGCGTAGTCAATTGTTTTCGGTGACTTCCTGTTTCACCGGAAATGACACATCGCTATTTTTTTTGACTTTATTCGAAAATTACATTTTGAATAGAATGACATCTCACCCCCTCAAAAATTATATGTAGTATATATTTTTAATTCCAATCATAGAGTGTCATCACTATGTTTATAAAAGAAACTTGACTCGAAACGGCAAGTATGTGGTACCAAACTCTTCGTAAAAAATGCTTTTTCCAAATATGCTAATGAGCCACCCTCGTTCCATTTGAAAAAATTTAGTTATGACTAAAAATTCGATTTGGACAAATTTCAACCAGCCCACACACGGCAAAATGCTTAATATATTTCCCCAATTTTTTTTGTACATGTCGCTGTAAATGTCCGAAATGCGGTAAAACCTAGGATAAGCGCGCTAAACCTAGGATTTACCAAAGACAAGTAGTAAAAGCTCGAAAACTTCTTTATTTTGCTTCCATTTCGGACTTTTGCCGGACCCAAACAGTAAATCTTAGGATTTACCACACCGCATTGGAAAAAGGTACGAATTATTTTTCTTATAGCAACAATATGTGTGTTAATGCATTGGTTAGCCTTGTTATTTGGAGGATGTTTATGCATTGGTTGAGATCCTGTTTCACCGAATATGACTACGAATTTTGATTTTTAAATGGTACCCTCGGTATATTTCTACTTTATTCGATAGAAAATGACACTCTGAATAGAATGACATATGACATATCATGTCAACTTTTGACATTTTTGCTTAAATTTTGATCTAGAGTGCTTTGGCTGTTGTAAAAACATTAATTTTTAATCAAGGAGCCTTGGAAAAATAGATTTGATCGTCTAAAGGTGCGTATTCATTATCCGAACGAACGAACGAACGAACGAATGTTCGCTAGTGGTATGGACGGGGACCGTACGATAGAACCGCACGAGAAGACCGGACGCGAACGCCTTTGATTTACCGACTCGAAACGGATGGTCGAGCGAACGAACGGCCGCATGCGTTCGGTCCCCGTCTAAATATACGGCACTTTCATTCGTTCGTTCGAATAATGTCCGGAATACGCACCTTAAGGTGCGTATTCTTCAAACCGGCCTGATTAGATACGAAAAACATTAAGGTGCGTATTCATTATCCGAACGAACGAACGAATGAAAGTGCGGTATATTTAGACAGGGACCGAACGCATGCAGCCATTCGTTCGTTCGTTCGCTCAACCATCATACGGTCCCTGTCCATACCACTAGCGAACATTCGTTACCTTTAAAGGTGCGTATACATACTTTAAAGGTGCGTATTCATTATCCGAACGAACGAACGAACGAATGTTCGCTAGTGGTATGGACGGGGACCGTACGATAGAACCGCACGAGAAGACCGGAGGCATTTGTTGGCGAACGCCTTTGATGTACCGACTCGAAACGGATGGTCGAGCGAACGAACGAACGAACGGCCGCATGCGTTCGGTCCCCGTCCGGAATACGCACCTTAAGGTGCGTATTCCGGACATTATTCGAACGAACGAATGAAAGTGCCGTATATTTAGACGGGGACCGAACGCATGCGGCCGTTCGTTCGCTCGACCATCCGTTTCGAGTCGGTACATCAAAGGCGTTCGCCAACAAATGCCTCCGGTCTTCTCGTGCGGTTCTATCGTACGGTCCCCGTCCATACCACTAGCGAACATTCGTTCGTTCGTTCGTTCGGATAATGAATACGCACCTTTAAAGTATGTATACGCACCTTTAAAGGTAACGAATGTTCGCTAGTGGTATGGACAGGGACCGTATGATGGTTGAGCGAACGAACGAACGAATGGCTGCATGCGTTCGGTCCCTGTCTAAATATACCGCACTTTCATTCGTTCGTTCGTTCGGATAATGAATACGCACCTTAATGTTTTTCGTATCTAATCAGGCCGGTTAAAAGATGATTATCGTATTTTTAATCGTACTTTCATTTGAGATATGTAACGGTTTTGACCACTGGTTATAACCGGTTAAAACTAGTTTTGACCAGTGCCCTGGTCAAAATTAAAAAAAGGTGTTTTTTTGCCAACCCTGGTATCAACCCAATTATTATCTCTTTTTAATACATTTGATTGTTCATTAAGCTATCTAAAGTTTAGATGACTATTTGATCGGTATTATGAGTCACCATCATAGAAATAAAAATTGTCCACCACTTTCAAACAAACTTTTTATGACACTTTATTAACACAAATACACATATTTTTGTCCACCTTTAAATAAACCTTTTTGTTACAGATTCTTCTTGAACCAATCCAAATTCACCCAAAAACTAAAAGAAAATGGACCACTCCAAAATCTACAACCGCTTGGAATCATACGAAAGTCAGATTTCATCTAGCAACGACACAAAATCTGACGTTTCGTACCATATGATGAAGCAGTCTCTTCATAACATATGGTCGCTGGTCTATTCATCCGAAAACAGCGATTCCAGGACGACCAACATCAAAAAAATCCAGGAATGCCTGACAAGTTTGGAGAAAAAGGTTGGAGAGAATGAGGAAAAGAAGTACCAACGGTACTACGGAAAACCTCATCTGGCACGAAGTGAAAAATGCTGTTAAAATTCTTATTTTTATCAATTTTAACTTACTAGAGCGTGTACTTGTATGATTTTTTCTTAAAAAACTCAAATTTTTAATGCAAGTAAAAACACCACACTTTTTTCTTCAGTATTTCGAAAAATATTTTACTGCTTTTGCTTTTAAGTTAAAATGTTTTTATTTCTCAAATTATCAATCTTCAGACAAAGCAGTATTTAGTTTTCTTTTTTTTTGTATTTCTTTCTGTGATATTTTTTCCTCATAATTTAAGTTTGCAAAATTCTGTGTTTTCAAAAAATAAAGCAAATAATAAAAATAATTTTTTGACATGTATAAAATTCTTATTCTCTGAAACATTGTATCTAATTTTAAGGATGCATGTTTTTTTTTATTTAATTTAATAAGACTAAATTATTCTGTAAATTTATGTGGAGATTAGATACGTAAATTGTTATTCTTTAGAGTTTGTACAGGGATGTGCAGACATTAATGTATAGTCTATAAATTATATTTTGCTTTTGTAAAGCAAACGTAATTTAGGTAATAAAATGTTAATAAACATTATATTTTTTAGATATATGTTTGTTTTATTAATAATATATCGTCAAAAATAGTATAACACACTTTTTTTATACAAACTTTTACCCAAAATTTTGGACAGCAAAACTGTCAAAGCTGTAGTGGGAGTGGGGCTGCTAAGAGGATATTATAAGCTTATATTGGGGGACCTAATTTATCATGGATAATGGCATATCTTAAAAATAGAAAGCAAAAAGTCAGAGTACAGTCTATAAGAACGGCTGTAACATCAGATGAAATTACAGTTAATATAGGAGTGCCCCAAGAAACTGTCATTGGTCCAATATTGTTTATTCTATATATAAATGATATTTCCGAAATCTTGAATAAACATGACTAGTGTAAGTTAACCTCTTATGCTGATGACACGAACTTACCCTCTACATAAGTTTAAAAGAACCGAAAATAGAGCATTTTACAACAGTATTAAAACATACAATAATTTACCCTTAGAAATAAAAAAAAATTTACACAGTTATCAAAATTAAAAAAAGAGATACAGCAGCGCTTTCAGATGGAGCGGAGAGTCCGCGTGATTTTTTGAAGAAAGCCGTCGATGAACTCATCCGGATGGAGCATACGCGACCCATGTGAAATTGTTCATATAAGCTCATGGTACTTGCTCGAAGTCGCGGACGCTCCGCTCCATCTGAAAGCGCTGTAATTTCTTAGTAAAAGTGGAGCCTTACAGCGTTTTCAGATGGAGCGGACCGTCCGTGACGGACCGTCCGCGACTTCGAGCAAGTACCATGAGTTTATATGAACAATTTCACATGGGTCGCGTATGTTCCGTCCGGATGAGTTCGTCGACGGCTATCTTGAAAAAACACTCGGACGGTCCGTCGCGGACGCTCCGCTCCATCTGAGAGCGCTGTTATAATTTAAATGATTTTTTTGAGTATTGTCGAAATAATTAGGGTATGTAACTAGGTAAAAACTTCTTTTTTTGTTTATTGCAATTTTTTATTGATTATTTTTTAAATGAGGAGAGAATTTATATACCTTGTAAGTATTTAATTATTTTTAATACAGTTCTAGATACTATACTGCCATTACTCGCTGACGAGTATTCGACACACATCAGAAGATGGTCACGCAAGGCGTTTTCTTTCATGAGCTTTTCTATGACTGAAAAGCCCGATACGTGATGTTATATGCCTACCGCACTCCGGACATTCAAAAATATCATTGCTTCTTACTTTATGGTTGTCGCTGTTAACTGAGTTTACAACTCTTCTCCCTTCAGTTCTATTGTGAGCTGCTTCTTCCAACTCATTCTGCATGTTAATCCCCTTTAAGTTTTCTTGGAAAATGTCCTTGTATCTTTTCAGTTGTCCACCCGGCCTCCTCTTACCGTCTACAAGCTCACCGTAAAGCAGAAATTAAGGTATGCGGTTTTCTTGCATACGTGACCAGCCCATCTTAAGCGGGATTTTGTAACCATGACTCTAATACTCTCGCAGTTAGCTTTTTCAAGGACCGATCCGTTTGAGACATGATGGAACCACCAGATTCTTAACAGCTGTCTAAAGTGTCTCTGTTGCAACTTGTTTAATACGTTCATGTGTCGGCGGTACGGCATCGGCACCCAGATTTCGCTCCCATATAACATGGTGGGGATTATAATTGCTCGGTACACTGCAAGTTTCGCTTTTGTACTCAAGTCATGATTGTAGAAAACCCTGTCTTTTAATTTCCAGAATGCTCTTGAGGCGCTGCTAATCCTGTGCTGAATTTCAAAGTCAATATTGGCCTTTTCCGAAATCAAACTGCCGAGGTAATTGAATTCCACCATATACACACACCGGAAAAATCTAGGGATATCATTTTATTAAAGTTAAAAATAAATGTTTTGAATAAACAACCACATATTTTAGGCCGATTCTTTCTACTTCGATTGAAACGAAGTAGTCACACTAGTTATTTCTAAATTTGGGATATTTGCAGAAGTGTTTGTGCATTTTTTGTCAAATGTATAAAAAGCACCTAGCATCAATTGTTCGAATTTAACCTGTACTGGCTATGTTTTTATGATAACTGGCCAGAATTCATTCAAATAACTCTGTTTAGTATTAAACGACATTATGGAGCGTAGACATCTTAACAGAGACGAAATGCTAACGACCATGAGTATGCTTGAAGCTGGAATGCGCCAAATCGACGTAGCTAGAGCATTAGCTACAACAACGCAAAGTGTAATATCACAATTAAGTGCACGCTACCGTGAAAGTGGTGATGTTGCTGAAAGGCACACAAGGCGACATCGCATTACTACCCCTCAGCAAGATCATTTTTTACAATTAAATGCTCCACGCCGACCGACTCTTACAGCACCAGTGCTTAGTTTAATTCTCCAGGAAATACATAATGTAACCGTTAGTCCTGACACTGTTCGCAATAGATTAAGAGAGGTCAACTTAAGAAGCAGACGCCCCTGGAGAAATTAACCCTTAACGAGAGGAAATCGAGAGATATGATATTTGTGGGCTCAAGATCATGTTCAGTGGTCGAATGAACAATGGGCCAATATTTTCTTCACGGATGAGTCACGCTTTGGAATTCATCCGGATTCGAGAAGGCTTAGGGTATGGAGAGAACCGGGAAATCTTATTCGGTTGGATCATGTTCAGGAAGTGCATCCTTATCAAGGTGGAACAGTTATGGTCTGGGGAGGAGTCAATTAGGCCGAACAACCGATCTCGTTTTTCTTGAAAAGTTTCTAACAGGAATCACATATCGTGATTTAATTCTTGAGCCTGTCGTGTTACCATATGCCAATGATTTTGGGAGAAACTTCATTCTCATGCATGACAATGCACGGCCTCATACAGCCAGAGTGGTAAGTGAGTTTATCAATGCTCATCAATTAAACATCTTACCCTGGCCGGCACAATCTCCTGACCTCAACCCCATCGAGCACGTATGCATGTAATGAACAGTAGAGGAGGTCATACCCTTTATTAAATAAAAATGGTTTTATCTTTTTATTTTAATTCGCAGTTTAGAATAAAAAAAAATGTGTATATTTTTTTGAGTTCAATAAAAATCAAGGTAAATTTGAAAAATTCCGTAAATTTCGCATTTTTATTTCCAATACGTCCTGTAAGCTATTTGTTTATTTTAATTTTATTATATCAGAAATGCAAATAATAAAATTACTGACGATGGCTGGATAAAATTGTAATATCTCTAGACTTTTCCGGTGAGTGTATTCCGATAATTCTTTTCCGATTTTTATAGTTCTAGATATTTACATGTTAATAATCAGAATGTTGATTTGTTGTATTTGAAATAAAGAGATATATCTATATAGTCGTACAACCCGATAGCCATCTCACAAATTTAATCTAATATACCCCTAATTTTACCCCTTAAGGAAGAGTTTATAGAAATCAATACTTAGAGATCACTTACGCCGCTTAAGAAACCTTTATGCATAATTTAATACTCCTAAACCAGACTAATAATTCTTATACAAACTTTCACTCTGAGTTTCACCCCCTAGGGTATAAATTTTCATAAATCGCTTCTTAAGATGGAAACATCCATTCTAATAATGAATTTACATTACTTAAGGATCCTATGTGGTTCATAACATGGTTAAAAAACTTAAAAAAAACACTGCTCTGTCTTTATATTCAAACCCAGGCATCGACACAATCATTTGTTCCTAAATGGCCAGGATCACTTTGTAAACTGTCCCCTAATCCAGGTATCCAGGTACAAAGGCCCGACATAATAGTGTCTTCGATTGTCCCCGAAACTATAAATTTCGCTCTGTGGCAAAGGCGAATTCGTGGCTAAACCCTGGCAATTAATTTTTGTTTCAATTTGGAACGTTCCGCCCACAAATATCCGGATAAATTAAAGCCGGTCCTGCGGAAAAGCTTATTTCAGAACCGCCGTTTGTTCGGCATTAAAAGAATTAAATTGGAAAAGTTGCATTAGTTTGTGAGAAATCTTTCCAAAGTTGAAACTTTGACGGAATGTAAGTTCGGTATAAAAAATTAATTTCTAATTTAGGTAAAATATTGGTTCTAAAATAAAAAGGATTTATTCTTGTAGTTTCTTTCATTTATTAATTTATTTTTGGGTAATTATTGGGAAAACTGGAAATCGTCCGATTTTCACCAAAATTGGTACACACACTTTTGAGGTCGTAGATTACGAATCTGAACTTTTTTCTTGGCGGTCTCTTACCGTTTTTCAGAAAAACGGAAAATCATTTCAGCATTGAATTTTTCTTCATTTCGGTCCTATAAAGTAATAATCTATACTAATATATAAAATCCTTAAGTGACTGACATACTGATTAATCACGATCCTGCTCAAACCACTCAACATAAGAAGCTCAATTTTGGCACACAGGTTGATTCTAGGGTATCAAGGTTCGATAAGAAGGCCTTCTTTTTTTTAAGTAGGTATTATTTACGAAGGCCTTATTTGATTAAGATGGTATTTTTGAAAATTCCAGTTCCAAGAGGGTGAAACCACCCCTCAAATATTACAATATTTTTTATTTAAAAAACGGTCAAGTTTCCGAAAAAAACGCTTAAACACGTACATTTTATTTTGTTTTTTTACATATTTTAAGATTTTTTAAAAATGTATACAGGGTGTTTCGAAAAATCTGGTTATTGATTAATCACGAACCTCAAAGCGCTTGACGTAAAAATTTTTGGAAAATAGATTGACTTTAGGGTGTAGAGGTTCGATAAGAAGGGATTTTTCGCAACTCGAATTCTAAGGGGGTGAAACTATCCCTCAAATATTAAAATATTTTTTTATTTAAAAACCGGTGAGTTTTTCGAAAAAACTCTTAAATACGTATATTTTATTTTGTGGTTTTACATATTTTAAGATTTTTTAAAAATTTATACACGGTATTTCATAAAATATGACCATTGAGTAATCACGATTCTGCTTAAACTGCTTGACGTTTAAAGCTTATTTTTGGCAAATGGATTGACTGTGGGGTGTAGAGTTTCGATAAGGAGA